TTCATACATTACATACAAACTCATATATTTCAGATGTTTATTTTGTTTAATTTTGATGATTACAAATGACAACAAATGAAAATCTCAAATTCATCATATCAGAAAATTAGAATATTACTGAAGACCAATAAAAACAAAGGATTTATAGAAATGTTGGCCAACTGAAAAGTATGAAAATGAAAAGTATGAGCATGTACAGCACTCAGTATTTAGTTGGGCCTCCTTTGGCCTGTATTACTGCAGCAATGCGGCGTGGCATGGAGTCGATCAGTCTGTGGCACTGCTCAGGTGTTATGATAGCCCAGGTTGCTCTAATAGTGGCTTTTAGCTCTTCTGAATTGTTGGGTCTGGTGTATTGCATCTTCTTCTTCACAATACCCCATAGATTTTCTATGGGGTTAAGGTCAGGAGAGTTTGCTGGCCAATTAAGAACAGGGATACCATGGTCCTTCAACCAGGTACTGGTAGCTTTGGCACTGTGTGCAGGTGCCAAGTCCTGTTGGAAAATGAAATCTGCATCTCCAAAAAGTTGGTCAGCTGCAGGAAGCATGAAGTGCTCTAAAACTTCCTGGTATGTGGCTGCGTTGACCCTGGACCTCAGAAAACACAATGGACCAACACCAGCAGATGACATGGCACCCCAAACCATCACTGACTGTGGAAACTTTACACTGGACTTCAAGCAACGTGGATGAAGTGCCTCTCTTCTTTTCCTCCAGACTCTGGGACCTTGATTTCCAAAGGAAATGCAAAATTTACTTTCATCAGAGAACATGACTTTGGACCACTCACCAGCAGTCCAGTCCTGTTTCTCTTTAGCCCAGGCAAGACGCTTCTGATGCTGTCTGTGGTTCAAGAGTGGCTTGACACAAGGAATGCGACAGCAGAAACCCATGTCTTTCATACGTCTGTGTGTGGTGGTTCTTGAAGCACTCACTCCAGCTGCAGTCCACTCTTTGTGAATCTCCCCCACATTTTTGAATGGGTTTTGTTTCACAATCCTCTCCAGGGTGCGGTTATCTCTCTTGCTTGTACACTTTTTTCGACCACATCTTTTCCTTCCCTTCGCCTCTCTATTAATGTGCTTGGACACTGAGCTCTGTGAACAGCCAGCCTCTTTAGCGATGACCTTTTGTGTCTTGCCCTCCTTGTGCAAGGTGTCGATGGTCGTCTTTTGGACAACTGTCAAGTCAGCAGTCTTCCCCATGATTGTGTAGCCTATAGAACTAGACTGAAAGACCATTTAAAGGCTTTTGCAGGTGGTTTGAGTTAATTAGCTGATTAGAGTGTGGCACCAGGGGCCATCAATTTTGAACCTTTTCACAATATTCTAATTTTCTGATATGATGAATTTGAGATTTTCATTTGTTGTCATTTGTAATCATCAAAATTAAACAAAATAAACATCTGAAATATATGAGTTTGTATGTAATGTATGAATATAATATACAAGTTTCACTTTTTAAATGGAATTACTGAAATCAATCTACTTTTTCATGATATTCTAATTTTATGACCAGCACCTGTATGTGAGTCAAGGCAGGTGAGCAAATACTTTTGGCAATATAGTGTATTAAGGTTAAGAGGCTGAGCTCGTAGATGATGATAAATAACATAGTTATGTATAATATATTACATTTCTGACTGTATATCCCTGAAATTATTACACACTGTAGCTTTAAGGCTGGTCAAACATGGCATGATAGATCCTACCAACTCACAATATACAAAGAAATAAAAATACAAACACAACGGTAAATAACTTACATAATTTAAATAAATTCATAGTCTTTAGAAGCCCGCACTTTTCAGTCCGTTAGGGAGAGAATTAATCAGGGAAGAATTTAGGAGCCCTAAATGGATCCTGATGGAATCCGTAAGAAGTTTTCATACCAGAAAACCTGATGTTTTTCTTCAGATAGGACAGTTTAAACTTTTATCTCTTCTGGCTGACAAGTAAGAGCCAAAAAAGCATATATTGATGGTAATAAACTAAAATGAAAAAAAAAAAAAATTAAGATTCTTGCTACCCAGCTCTATGCAAAAACGATCTAAAAATGAGTAAAAATCTTACATTAAGTGTATTTAACCTTAATTTGAATAGATAAATAAGATGATCTGCCAATGGAATGACTGTTTTTCCCCATAAAATAAGATAATTAGATAATCTGCACTTGAAATAAGATAAAGGAATTACATTTTTCTTATTTTAAATGCAAACTGTCTTGTTCCATTGGCAAGTGCCTCACTTACCTGCTCAATTCAAGAAAAAGGGCACTTGTTTTAAGGAACAAATGTTTGCAGTGCAGTAACTGTGCAGACAGAAGCTTAAAATAAGTAAAACTAATTGCTCCTTAGACCTTCATGTTGTGTCAATGAAACACCCAAAATACCCAAAAGAGATTTTGGTCGATGGTGATGCATGGCTTCCCATTTATGAAGTGCTCTGCACCTCCACTACACCAGAGGTGGATGGGGTACAGTGAAGGCATGCAATGTTCAAATGGACCCATTAGCTTTATTTATAAAAGGGAAAATAATTAATTTAATCAGATGAAATTTCACTAACTACAACAGCTTTGCATGTGAACTTTTTTCCTACAGTTATTGATGCAATTGCACTTAAGGAGACGCTGCAATCCAATTAATTTCAGTTTATTCCTATAGCGCCAATTCACAACACATGTCATCTCAAGGCACTTTACAGTTCAACCAGATCATCCAGTCAAATCCGGAAAAAAAAAGTGTGTGGGAGTAGTGGAACATTCCAGTTTTTTTTTTTGTTCCCACTGCAAGTCTTCCTTCCTTTATGCTGCGTCTTTTATAATTCCAACCAAAAGACTTCAGAGATTTGGGATTTTTAGCTATACCTATGATTTATATTCTCTGTAATTATATCTACACAGGAAAAAAAGAAAAAAAGAGAGGGATCTAAAGCCATTTTTTCTTAAAATAAGTGCATTTGTTTTTGAATTGCAGAGGTGAGAGAGACACTTTGCCAATGGAACATGAAGAATTTACATTACTTATATTTTATTTGAATATATTGTCTTATTTTAAGTGCATATTATCTAATTATCTTATTTTAGGATTAAAAATACTCATTCCATTTGAAAATCATCTTATCATCATCACCTACTCAAATTATGTCAAGATTGAAGGTTTTTGAGGAACCACATGCAGAGATCAGGAGGCTGAGGTGAATCTTGTAGATTTAAAGACAGAACTGAGGCAAAATAAAAAAAAAATACAGGAACCAAAAGACCAGAAAATGTCAGGAAAAGCTTAGGTAGGGAGCCAGAGATGAGGAAGCAACTAAACAAGAAGGAACCAGCAGTGAGTGACTGCAGAGGGGGAGTATATAAGGGGAACAGAACAAAGGATGGACTAATTAGCTGAATATGGAGCAGGTGTGAACAGAACTAACTAGAAGGAAGCCAAGGGGAAAGGAAACAAGCACAAGGGGGCGACAGAGAGTAACTAAAGACTGCTGGAATATAAATGGAAAATAAACCAAAGAACAAAACAGAATAACTAAAAAACTAAAAACTCAGAGTCCCAAAAGGGGAGAAGCAGAACAAATTAAGGGTAAATAAATTTCATTTTAGAAATACTGACTTATTTCTAGATCGTTTTTGCAGTGTAAGAAAAAAAAATAGAGAAATCCAAAAGTTTTGTTCTAAAAACACATTGATGTAGAAAACCTTAAAATGACTGTTTTTTTCTGATTTATACCAGCCAGTAATAATGTATAGTGATATGTTTTTTAGAATTAGCAATAAGCCAAATAAATGAATAAATCAAACAAATGGTTTTTATTTTTTATTACCATGGCAAGAGGATCCAGCTTCACCATAACATGTTGCCACCAAACTTTTAGCTTCAAAGTTTTATAAATGAACAAAGAAACTCATGGAAACCAAAGCGTACGGCTCATAAAAAGCTGCAGCCATGTTAGAAGCATGGTTAGGTTATAAATCTTGTCTAAAGATGGAAAGAATATCACACAAATATTTATAGAAAGAAAAAAGCTAAAGATCCAAACATACTTAAAGGTAATAATCTAGGATTTAATAGGATATTTGAGAAAAAGGAATCAAAGGAGGAACACTTTTCAAGAAAAAAATTAGAGGTAAAACAAGGAAACCAAAACTAAGTGTAAATCACCTTCACTTAAAAAAGAGAAAAAAGCATTGCATTAGAAGACAATAGCATTAAGCTTTACAAATACTAACCGCAAAGGAATTCTGCAGATTTTGTTTTAGAACATTATTGTTTTCTTGCATGCTCTGCCAATAAAACACCAGGTAGCAATCAGGTGCCTTTAATACACAGTGAAAAAAACATACTTGTTGGGTAATAAACACAGTTTCAGGACTCTAAAGAGGACAGAAGATGAAACACAGCTTTGTTCTTTTCCTCCAGATCATAACATCAGTTTGCACTCATTTCACTTGTTTACGCAGGGTATAAAGGTTAACCAGCCCAGGTAAAAAACAGAAAAAAGAAAGATCCAGATTAACAGTTATGAGCACACTAAAAGCTCATAATACACACAGACTTCCCCACGTGGCAGATAGCCAGCAGGGAGGCGGTCAAGACTTAGGGAGGCAACATCAGCAGAAGGGTGTGTTTGATTCGTCTGTGGGGCTCTGTGTGTCTAAGAGAGGAGGGCAGAACACAGACCGGATGATAATATTAGGACCGTCTCTGTCCGCATGCTGGAAACTACCGAAGGGACCCAGAGAACCCTGATGTGGCGCTCACCAATAAGATCAGATTTAAGAAAATGTTAACTTGGATTTTTTGGGGTCACAACACTGGATTGGTCTATATTTTTGACTTGTAAACATGAAACAATCATCTAAATCTTGATGTCACGGAAAATTCTTCATTTGAAACAATGTTGATTGGCTTTGTGTTTTTTCCTTCTTTTTGAACTAAAATGTTGTTTTTAACTGGGCCATCCAGCGTAGAGCCGTCTGCCAGCATGGCTTCTGGCTCAGCGGACTCCAGCCAGCTAAGAGTGCTAATAGACGTGAAGCCTCGGGTCATGGGTTTGGTCCTTAGCGTCTCTGCTGCCCTTATTATTCCCACCAATCTGCTAGTTGCTGCTGCTCTGCTGAAGCTGCTCCTTAAGCGGGGATGTCAGAGCTGGTGTTTCGTCCTTAACTTGGCTCTGGCTGACACTCTGGTAGGTGTAGCCATCACCGGACTTGCTACAGAGGACTTCAGCAACAGTTTCACTCACCACCACTATGCTCCCTTAGTGATTTATAATTCCACGAACACAAGCCAACCTGCTCCACCGGGTAAGACTCGATGTTTGCTGAGAATGGCCTTTCTGACATCTCCATGCGTGGCATCCATCTCGTCTATGTTCCTAATCTCACTGGACCGTTACATAGCCATCAAGCTGCCTCTGCATTACTCTCTGATGTCTGGAAGAGGGAAGACGGTTGGATTTTTATTGGCTCTGTGGATTGGCTCCTTCACGACCGGATTTTTACCAGGTGAGCCTCGGGAATCAGTTATTTAATAACTGAAAGATGCAAGAAGAGGGTTATTTGATGTTTTCCTTTTGCCCAATCAGTTATCTAATGTTTAGGGCAGGGGTAAGCAATGTCGGTCCTCCAATGCACTGTCCTGCAGCTTTGGCATGCATCCCTGCACCAACATACCTGAAACAAAAGGCCACGTTACCTTCTTAGCATGTCAGTAAAGGCTGGTTTATGCTCAGAAACCAGGTGGTCTGCGTGTGTCGCAGTGAACGCAAATATGCCCCGCCCCTTCCGCAAACACTCTGCTGCACCTCTCCAAGATTGTAGGTGACCGCAGACAGTGCCGCAGACAGGAGGCCTCTGATTGGTCAGATCTACATCTGCTCTACATATTTCCTGTTTGGTTCCTTACCGGCTTGTTTCGTTTGTCTGACCGCCATTGTGGAAAACGACTGGTGAAGATGGAGCAGCAAGCAGAGCGAGGTGCGTTAGAACGCTGGGACCCTTTTACCACCTGGATCCCCGCTCTTTTTGGCCCTCATGTCCCTCCGTTGTCGGACAAACTTGCCCCTTTGTAGTTCCTGATTGTCCCTCTGGCGTTGTGGCATGGAATAACATAGCACAGACTACGCGTCAAAAATATCTACGAAAAGCTCACTGCGACACACTGCTGCGGGAGGATAACCAGGCCTTAAGATTAGCTGAGGCTTGGTCATTAACTATTATTAACTATACATTTGTTTTATGTGAGTTGAAGAACGGATGCATGCAAAAGCTGCAGGACAGTGGCACTCGAGGACCGACGTTGCTTACCCCTGGTCTAGGGTCTACTGATACTGTTATCAAGCCAATAACCAACAAGAACTGCCCCCTTTGGTTTCCTTTTCCAGAGTCACTTGGATTGTTGCTAGAATATACTGAAGTACATTTCTAGTCAGTGTGTCTCTAGAAGAATTTTGAAAACCTAACACAGTTTTCTGGGACAGAAACTGCTTTTTTTCTGGTGTGTTGTCCCAAAAATGACTAAAGTTTGAGAATCCTTATTGTCCAAATTAAACCGTCATAAAGTTTCTTTAGACATTCAGGTTAGTCCTAGAATATTCTAACACCCCTTTAGAACGAGTTTAAGGAAGAATAATTTTTCAGTCTGCAGCAAACAGACCCAACATGGATGTAATACCGTTCATGTTTTAAGGCAAACGTACCGTCTTCACTGAGCATGAAGAATGAACTTCCTTCTGCTGTGATCTACAGGGGACCAGAGTAGTTCATGTGTAGTTTAGCCAACTTCAAAGAGATATCGGGTTTAAGGAAAAATTCATCAACTAAATGGTAAACTGCTTTCCTTATTTCAAGATAGAAAAAAATACAAATACATTTATTCTGTTAAAATGTTTTTTTGTTTGCATTTTATTCAATGAAATTTTATCAGAAAAGGGTTTCATGGTTTCAAAATGACGACATTATTTTTGGCTTATAATTAAAAGCGGAATATCTTGAAATGAATTTGCATTCAACCCCCTAAATACGATGTTTTTAGGAACCCCCTTCACTGCAAATACAACAATCGATTTTGATACAACAAGCTATTTTGAGTGTATATATCTTGTATTTATTAAAACAAGCGCACACTTGTTGGCACATGGTCTTGATAAAAGCAGCAAAGCAATTTACTTTTACAAAGTGCTTGCTGATTTTACATTGAGAAATGCTGCCTAATTGGACATTTTTTGACCATGCAGATCATGTTCTGATGAGCAAACAACATTAATGCATTAGCTTTATGTTAAGGGTCCCTGTCCTGCTGGATGGTGAACTCACTATATATGGAAGCAGGACCTTGAAACTTTGCTGTATTATGCAGACTCCAATTTATGCTTTAAAACACAAAGTGGAACCCTGCAAAATGTAAAAGGAAAACTGAACAGATTACAAAACACAAAAACTGGGGAAAAAATCCCTAAAGGGAAACATTATGTTTAAATTAAGAACAACTGTCTCAGTCTGGATGGGATAGGCCACTGTTTCAATTAATCCAGCTGCATAATATGACTAATAGAGAAAAACATAGAGTTCATAAAAAATGTAGTAACATAATATTTACACCTTAAAGAACTGAAAGCTGCAAAAAAAAAAAAAAAAAAAAACTAATGTTGGGTGTAATAATGTTGTCCATGAAGAAAAGGTGATAACATCACATCAAAAAAGGGACTTAGCACAAATGTATGGTTTCCTCCTCTTGTTTTTATTAATATAAAAAAAAAAGAAAAAAAATGATGTATGAGTTTCTATTTGTAGCTGTGCCCTTTGGGATTAGAGATAATGCAAAGCCAGCCATGTCAGGGTTTGCTTGAGGTTTTGAGGACCCAAATGCAGAGGCGAGGAGGCAGAGGTGAGTTCTTGAAGATTTAATTAAAAAACCGAGGCAGAAAATCCAAAAACCAAGATAAAAAAATACATGGAACCAAAAACCAGACAACTTGATGGGAAAAGTCCCGTGGGGAGCCAGGAAAACACGAGGAACCAGCACTGAGGAGCTGCACAGGGGGAGTATATATGGGAGACTGAACAAAGACTGGACTGATGAGCTGATTGGGAGCAGGTGTGAAGAGAGGATTCTAGAAGGGAGCTGGGAAAAAGGAGACCAACACAAGAGGGCAGCAGAGGGCAACCAAGAAAAAAACTCTAAGAACTCAAATATATACAGAAACACAGCAAAATAGGAATTAAACCAATAAAATCAGAAAACATGGATCAAAGTAAAACTAAATACTCAAAAGCAAACTTAACAATTTAATTCTATTCAGTTTATTTCTATAGCTCCAATTCACATCATGTCATCTCAGGTCACTTTCCAGTTCACCAGATCATCCAGTCAGATTGATTCAAAGTTTTCTATCTAAGGAAAACCAGCTGATTGCATCGACTCATTGACTCTTCAGCAATCCCTCACACTAAGCATGCTTGTAGCGACAGTGGAGAGGAAAAACTCCCTTTGAACAGGAAGAAACCTCCAGCAGAACCAGGCTCAGTGTGAGCGGCCATCTGCTGAGGCCCACTGCACTGAAAAAAAAATAGAGGTTGACAGAACTTACATTTTCTAGGCAACGTGATGCATTTGGTTTTTTGAGTTTTCCTTACTTAAATTCACTGTGGTTGAGTTTACAAAGATTTTTGAGTTCTGCCAACTTAGGTTTTTGGAGTGTTACATAGAAATTTTGAGTTCTACCAACTTAGGTTTTTGAGTTTCACCTTTAAGTTCTGAGTTCTATCAACTTTGTTTTATGAGTTTGACATATAGATTTTGAGTTCTACAAACTCAGATTTTGTAGTGTTATCTGCAAGTTGAGTTCTATCAACTCAGTTTTTTTAGTCCTACCAATCGTCTTCACTACCAATCATTCAACACACAAAAAATTATGTTAATACAACATTTTTATTGCTTCAAGCCAAACATTGCATCAATAGATACAGTATAAAACCATGTTCAACAACATAATCTTAACTGCACAGATCAAAGTAACATGACACTGGACCAGAATGTTCTAGATTCGTAAGAGTGATGATGAGGGAAAAAACAGTAAGACACCATTTTAGTAAGAGGAAAACACACAGGTAATTTTTTGTGAAGTAAGTGTATTAACATATATGAAAAAATAACAGTTTTACAAATTTGGACGGCCTTCAGTTTGTTTTTTTCAATTGTAGTCTCTTTAAATTGGGTGCACCCTTTTAAAAAAAATAAAATGAAATAAAATGTCTTGTTTCCCAACGGAAAAAGAAAAAGGTTTTCCCTTTTTATCTCTGAGTTTTTCTTTTTAGTCCTACCACTCCGACAGGACGATGAATGCAAAAAAAGAAAGTCCTCTTCAGTCCAAATCCTTCTCTTCAATCCAAATCCAGATGTTCACACGGTTGGCTCGCCATCTCCATTTAAGGAGAGAATCCAGAATCCAGGGTATCCAAAAAACCCAGCCTGCATAGCACAACAGGGCTTAGTTAAATCCATTCACTTCTTGTTCTTAACTGTACAGTTTATATCTCTCCAAGTATGATAAATTTCAGTGTGTAATGTAACTTTTCTAACTCATTACGAATTAACTGCTGCATTACAGGGTTAACATATAAAATGTTAATGTCACTGTTTTTCTTGTAAAGCAAATAAAATCATGAAAGCAAAAAATCCACATGTAAATAATGTAAATAACAGTAAATACCCACATCGGATTAAGAAAGTAAAATAATGTAGTCTTGTAATATTCTGTGCCTGAGTGCAACAACACTGCACTACATAAAACAATTTAGAAATTTCATAAGTTATTACACTCAACTTAATGTCTCTTTTCATTTGTACAATGAAAATAACAGGCACACTCTTTTCTCTATGCATAAACACTCACCCGCACATGCGCGGCATAAACACGCACGCGCACACGCGCATTATAAACGCGCACGTGCGCTGCTTTTCCTTTCATCAGAACGTGAAAAACATGTGAACTCATGCTTCAACTCGGTGGCAATACACCACAAGGGAATGCTAACTCACGGAGCTAACCGCTAACTGGCTGTACTTTGCAGCACTCACCGGGAAAACTGGTAAGGTCCCAGGGTCGTTCCTCCGTGGTTCTCCAGATGCATAAAATCACAATGTCCGCCAATCTTCTCAAACACGAGGGAAAAAGGCTGTGCCCTTGAAGAAAGGGATAGGAAACCCCGTACCGTAGTGGGCGTGTCCATGAACATAAGCAGTGCGCATGCCCATGAGTTTACAGTTGAGGGAACTCAAAAAATCTTGTATAGGCGATTTAAAACTCCTTGTTAAACCAACTTCTGAGAATTTGAGTTGGGCAAACGTGTATTTATTTGTTAGATGTCAAATTTATATTTCTGAGTCGGATTACAATACAATTGTGTGTTAGAACAACAATTGCCATTTACTTTTTTAACAGTGTGGGGTTCAAGGAGACCAGAACCAAGATAGTGACAAAGCACAGATAAAATAAAGCTTGATTCTGTTTTGATTTTGTGCATCATAGAACATAAATACTCAGAACATAAATGTATAAATGATCTGATGTCTTCTGCTCTGCAGTGATGGTGCACCAGCTGCAAGCGGTGGGACCCTACGATGGCTTCTGCGCTTTCTTTAACGTCACCCATGACATCACCATCATCATTCTGTACTGCGCGCTGTTCTTCCCCCTGCTCTCCCTCTTCATCTTCATGTACCTGGACATCCTGAAGATTGCCTGCATCCACCACAAGCAGATCTCCCAAATAAGGCAAATGAGCTCCAGAGCTGAGGACAGCCATCATGGACCATCCCAGTACCACCATCATCCGCAGCATCACCTGCTGAGGAGCTGGAGTCACGTTAAGGCCTTGAAGACGGTGCTGGTGCTTGTTGGCTGTTTCCTGGTGCTTTGGAGCCCTTTCTTTGTGGTGTGCATTGTTCACCTTCTGTGTAGGAGGTGTGCTCTTAAGGAGGTGCTGGAGAACTACCTGTGGCTCCTGGGACTCCTCAACTCTCTGATAAACCCTCTGGTGTACGCCTGCTGGCAGAGAGAGGTGCGCCTGCAGCTGTCAGCCATGTTTTCCTGCATCACCAGCAGGCTGCTGTCTGAAGCAGCCCCAAGTGTGATGGAGAGAGGCCACTCGTCTCCGCCTGCGCACAATCATGCGTGTGTTTCTGAGGGAGACACCCCCAGCCCTTCAATAAGGATCCCAATCAGCAGTCTGGATGCTCAAGCTGTTCACTTCACTGACACCACCAGTTTGTAGGGTTGGGAATTGAAAAGATTTTCACGATTCCGATTCCCTTTTCGATTCTATTAAACGATTCGATTCTTTATCGATTCTTTTTTCGATTCCAATTTGGGGGAAAAAGGAGAACAAACAGTTTGATTATCAGAATCAACTTTGTTTACTTAACTATTGCACAATCTTACAAACTCAACAAGATCAAGATGTCCACAGGAAATGTGAAACTGGAGTAACATCTGTGTTTAAATGAAAAATGAATACAAGAACAAACTTAATAACCAACAATGTCTAATAACAAATGATGGGATAATAACCTATTTTAAATAACAAAAAATACTAATTATAAAAAATTAGTAGGGAAAATTAACAGTTCTTTTGCAGAAAGATGAGCATATCTGCTTTTTCTGGAAGGATACAGGATCTTTCAGGGCTTATGGTGTCTCCAGCCGTGGAGAACACCCTCTCAGATGGGGTGCAGGAAGCCTGCACACAGAGGTAGTTTTCAGCCAGTCAGATAGCAAGGGCAGCGTATCTTGCTTGTTCCACCACCACAGTGTGGCGCTATCCCTGCAGGGGATGGAGGGCAAGCTTTTACAGAGCTGGATTTCCTGATCCACCCTCTGGGCTAAGGAAAGACGGGGCTTTGATTCAAAAAGTGACCGCAGCTCGCTGTCTTCCTCCTCGAATAGTTATTTCCAAATTGCGTAACTTGCGTAACTTGCGTAACTTACGTAACGTACGTAAAAAACGTGACGTAAGTCATGCTCCCCAGAGCCGGCGCTCTAGGCTCTGGTGCTGCGGGAATCGAAAAAAGAATCGTTCAGTGAGCTGCCAAACGATGCCATGGAATCGGAAAATACGGAACCGGTTCTGAACAGGAACCGGTTTTCGATTCCCATCCCTACCAGTTTGTGAAGAAAACTCTGGAAAGCACTATCACTGAGAGTAACGCTGTGGTTAGCTTTCAACGAGCAAACATAATATTAAAACTATAAACTGTTGTGTTTGAACTTTGGATCTAAATGCCTTGCTTGTGTTTTTATCTAATGAGAATTTGAACATCAGAGTAGATGTTAAAGTTTCATTGAAGATCAGCTCAGGAAGCAGCCATTTCTGGGCAGAAGCAGCTGAGAGCAACTGGAGGAATCTCCAGCAGGTATGGCTCTGGCCTGAACAAGAAAAAAACTAACTAGATCACCTCAGAGGTTTGGCTGCAAGAGGTCTTAGTATTTCAAAGAATATATTTTATTTACCACCAGTCTTCAGGGTTGATGTGGTATATATGTTAGAATGTTAGCTGGTACTAAAACTGTGGTAGTTTTTCTGTTAAAGTCGCAGGGAAATCATATTTAAATGTCAAATCATTCTGGCTTTAACATGTATATAAATGTTCTCTTTATCAGACCATATCGTCCCAAAAGTTAGAAAATGTCCATTTAAAAAAAAAAAAAAAAATGTTTTTTCCCCCCGTCATCTTCTGCAGGCCAGTTAGTTCTACGGTCATCTGTCAATCACATTTTTTCGGTCATCTGAACAATAGAATAAAGACAGTAGAACAACCCTGCATAGAATAAGGCTAATCTGACATTAGTCGAGTCGTCTTTTCCACCTGGTTTTAAATGTAGTTGAGTTGTTGCAGATTTCTTTGACTGATAGCGCCTCTTATCTAAATGTTGCGTGTTTCTGAGGAATCACACAGTCTCCTCTAGATGCTCGTTACATTTCCACTAGTGCTGAATTTTAGCTTTATAAACTCCCCCAGAGGAGGGGGTGGGAGTCCATTTAAGATCTATAATATCTATATAATATCAAACAGGCAATTTTACATCGTCTAAAACTTTCAACACTAATAATACTGTGATTTTAGAGAAAGAAACAACGAGAAAAGGACAAAAGTTTCTATCAAATGATTTATCTGAAGTTATAAATATAAATTATTTTTGTATTTTTTAACTTTTTTTTTTTTAAAGATAAACTAGAGTCCATGGTAACTCCAAGATATTAATATGTACATAAAATCTGGATCTCCTCACGTTGCTGATGGATGTTAAAACAGCCCCATTCTCCAGATGTAGAAATGTTAATAGAACAGACATCCATTATCTGTTCTAGGTTGTGTCCCTCTCTTCTTGTCCCTTTTCTTCTTGTTTTCCTCTCTATGTTTTGTACTCAGCTGACTTTTCATGCTGTCTCTAAAGGAATGAAAGATTTTTTCCAAGCACTAAGCTCAGTTAGCTGATTGCTCCTTCCTGTGTTTCCAAAAAGGCCAAAGTAAATAACCCAGTCCTTCTTTTCACTGTAGACAAGCCATGATCTGCTTATCTGTTCTCCATTTTTCATTTGGATGAAATAATAGCTGCATGAATCATGACAGCAGACAAGATAGAGGAGAGCAGGAGGCGGGGTTACCAATCTACTCGCTCTGGAGAGCAGAGTTCTCTGCTTTTAGATGTTGTCTCCAAAGTCTCCAGTAGCAGAAAAAAGTCTCTAGATTTGGCGCTAGGAGCTTTCTAGAAATCAAAGTGCTAGAGGGGTCTGAAAAGTGGCTAAATATAGCAACTAAAGCGCTAAGTTGGCAACACTGCTCTTTGCATGGTTTGTTTTCAAATGGTTTGCTGCTGTCTGTTTGGACCTTTCTGAACATGTGCAGCAAATGGACTGATCCAATATGGTGGACACTGAAGGGGGGGGCTGAGACACACTTAATATTATCAGCGTTCTGATGGCATTTTAGCCAAAGGATTTTTATCAGAAACATAATTAATGTGGACAAATAAGGAATAGTTGTATTAACCATACATGGAAACAGAGTTTTATGGGGCCCCATAAAACATCTGCTTTGTTACCAAATTTGAACATTGGAGTAATTGTGACAACTTCCTATGATGTAGGGAAAGTACAATGACTAGTTTTAAAGTGTTAACTTTATGAAATTTGTATCTAAACCATAAATATCTTTAGTCAATAAAAACAGAAGGAATTATTTCATTTGTGAAGAATTACACTAAAAATGTGTTTAGCCCTGAGGGGAAATGATAGAATAATTATATGTAATTCCAGATTGTTTGTTGGACCTTTAAAATAATGAAGAAACTTTACAAAACAAAGTGGTTGACATCGCAGAAGAGTAAGATTTTAGTTATTTTGCAAAGGAATAAGGGTAATTCTACACCAACGACCACAGAATATAAAAAACATTAGATATAGCAGCAAAATGTATCCCTGATGTTGAGGCATATGTTGCACTAAATGCCAACATACTCGTCACCAAATAAACTTTGTCGTAGCAAATGGGAATTAAACAAACACTAATAACTTAGTGATGCATTTTAGAGCCTGCAGTAACAAGTTTACTATGAATGTTTGGGCCAAATATAAGTATCCTTGTTTCATCTGTTAGTTATTTTCAGTGAAAGAAGTGAACTGGCAGGATAAAACAGATTTCATTATCCGTAAATTATTGGTTCAATCATAACTTTTATTGAATACAGCGCTAAAAATGACAGCTCTAAGAACACATCCTGGTTTTTGAACAACTTAGGTCCATCTACATACTGATAAACAAAAAATAAATATTCTAATTAATGCAGAAGAGAGCTGAGAATTCAAAAACATCTCAATCAAAATGTGTATTTAGCAAATCAAACAGCTGTAAGGTTGCAAGATTTACACTTTAAGCTTCACTTAATGAATTATTTAATTATGTGCTATAAATATTTATAGTTATGTTAGAAGAGGAAATTTCTAACTTGGTTATTCTATCAAGCCCTGACCTCTATTCTGGACATTCTACGGGAATATTTGTGCAAAAAGCTGATCTATACTCTGCTTCCATTGGGAAGAAGTCCCTCTCAGTGGAACATGTGTGATCAGAGGTCAGTGGTAGTAGAAGGCAGGAAGTTCAATGATGAATCCTTGAAGACTTTAAAGGGACTCAGTGTAATCCCACAGAGGATTCAGATGCTTCCCAGTAAAACTCCTGTCCTCATAGAGCCTCTGTGCACGCTAACTCCTGTCCTCATAGAGCCTCTGTGCACGCTAACTCCTGTCCTCACAGAGCCTCTGTGCATGCTAACTCCTGTCCTCATAGAGCCTCTGTGCACGCTAACTCCTGTCCTCATAGAGCCTCTGTGCACGCTAACTCCTGTCCTCATAGAGCCTCTGTGCACGCTAACTCCTGTCCTCATAGAGCCTCTGTGCACGCTAACTCCTGTCCTCATAGAGCCTCTGTGCACGCTAACTCCTGTCCTCATAGAGCCTCTGTGCACGCTTACTCCTGTCCTCATAGAGCCTCTGTGCACGCTAACTCCTGTCCTCACAGAGCCTCTGTGCACGCTAACTCCTGTCCTCACAGAGCCTCTGTGCACGCTAACTCCTGTCCTCATAGAGCCTCTGTGCACGCTAACTCCTGTCCTCGTAGAGCCTCTGTGCACGCTAACTCCTGTCCTCACAGAGCCTCTGTGCACGCTAACTCCTGTCCTCATACAGCCTCTGTGCACGCTAACTCCTGTCCTCACAGAGCCTCTGTGCACGCTAACTCCTGTCCTCATAGAGCCTCTGTGCACGCTAACTCCTGTCCTCATAGAGCCTCTGTGCACGCTAACTCCTGTCCTCACAGAGCCTCTGTGCACGCTAACTCCTGTCCTCACAGAGCCTCTGTGCACGCTAACTCCTGTCCTCACAGAGCCTCTGTGCACGCTAACTCCTGTCCTCATACAGCCTCTGTGCACGCTAACTCCTGTCCTCACAGAGCCTCTGTGCACGCTAACTCCTGTCCTCATAGAGCCTCTGTGCACGCTAACTCCTGTCCTCATAGAGCCTCTGTGCACGCTAACTCCTGTCCTCGTAGAGCCTCTGTGCACGCTAACTCCTGTCCTCACAAAGCCTCTGTGCACGCTAACTCCTGTCCTCATAGAGCCTCTGTGCACGCTAACTCCTGTCCTCATAGAGCCTCTGTGCACGCTAACTCCTGTCCTCATAGAGCCTCTGTGCACGCTAACTCCTGTCCTCACAGAGCCTCTGTGCACGCTAACTCCTGTCCTCACAGAGCCTCTGTGCACGCTAACTCCTGTCCTCACAGAGCCTCTGTGCACGCTAACTCCTGTCCTCATACAGCCTCTGTGCACGCTAACTCCTGTCCTCACAGAGCCTCTGTGCACGCTAACTCCTGTCCTCATAGAGCCTCTGTGCACGCTAACTCCTGTCCTCATAGAGCCTCTGTGCACGCTAACTCCTGTCCTCGTAGAGCCTCTGTGCACGCTAACTCCTGTCCTCACAAAGCCTCTGTGCAAGCCAACTCATGTCCTCATAGAGCCTCTGTGCACGCTAACTCCTGTCCTCATACAGCCTCTGTGCACGCTAACTCCTGTCCTCATAGAGCCTCTGTGCACGCTAACTCCTGTCCTCGTAGAGCCTCTGTGCACGCTAACTCCTGTCCTCATAGAGCCTCTGTGCACGCTAACTCCTGTCCTCATAGAGCCTCTGTGCACGCTAACTCCTGTCCTCGTAGAGCCTCTGTGCACGCTAACTCCTGTCCTCACAAAGCCTCTGTGCAAGCCAACTCATGTCCTCATAGAGCCTCTGTGCACGCTAACTCCTGTCCTCACAAAGCCTCTGTGCAAGCCAACTCATGTCCTCATAGAGCCTCTGTGCACGCTAACTCCTGTCCTCACAGAGCCTCTGTGCACGCTAACTCCTGTCCTCATAGAGCCTCTGTGCACGCTAACTCCTGTCCTCACAAAGCCTCTGTGCAAGCTAACTCCTGTCCTCACAAAGCCTCTGTGCACGCTAACTCCTGTCCTCATAGAGCCTCTGTGCACGCTAACTCCTGTCCTCATAGAGCCTCTGTGCAAGCTAACTCCTGTCCTCACAAAGCCTCTGTGCACGCTAACTCCTGTCCTCATAGAGCCTCTGTGCACGCTAACTCCTGTCCTCATAGAGCCTCTGTGCACGCTAACTCCTGTCCTCATAGAGCCTCTGTGCAAGCTAACTCCTGTCCTCACAGAGCCTCTGTGCACGCTAACTCCTGTCCTCATAGAGCCTCTGTGCACGCTAACTCCTGTCCTCATAGAGCCTCTGTGCACGCTAACTCCTGTCCTCACAAAGCCTCTGTGCAAGCTAACTCCTGTCCTCACAGAGCCTCTGTGCACGCTAACTCCTGTCCTCATAGAGCCTCTGTGCACGCTAACTCCTGTCCTCGTAGAGCCTCTGTGCACGCTAACTCCTGTCCTCACAAAGCCTCTGTGCAAGCTAACTCCTGTCCTCACAAAGCCTCTGTGCACGCTAACTCCTGTCCTCATAGAGCCTCTGTGCACGCTAACTCCTGTCCTCACAGAGCCTCTGTGCAAGCTAACTCCTGTCCTCACAAAGCCTCTGTGCACGCTAACTCCTGTCCTCATA